AAATAATCTCCCAAGGGAAGTGGTGGATTCCATCCATCAGACAGTTTTAAGACACATCTTGACAGGGTTCTGGGCCACTTCATTTAAACTGTATTACCAGCCTGTGAATGTGCTCTGGGCAATCCTGCCCTAGTGGAGGAATTGAACCAGACTGAAAGAGGATCAGAGGGCAGATTTTTATGATTGGAAAAGAAAATGTGAAAGATTAATAGCAAGGTTGCCCTGAAGAAAAGACATCAGATAGTGAGGAAATAGATGGTGAGCTGCATGTAGACTGTCAAGGGGAAAAAAATGGCTGTTGAGCAGAGGGCAAATTGAAAGGGCATACAACAAAGAGTGACTTTGAAAGAAGGAAATGAAAAATAATGCAGGAGTAGAAGAATACTTAATATGTCATTAGAGTGCAGACAGGAGGATGAGGAGCCAGACCCAGACTGCTGGGAGGAGGAAACAAGGTGTAGAACTGCTTAAATGAAGACTGACATGGGGAAAAAATGCAATAAAAGAAGTCTTGGGGGAAAAAAGAAAATAATATTAACAGAAAGCACCATTTGACTGAAAGAGCAAGTCTTCCTATAATTTATTGCTGTATATCAAGCTGTCCAGTTGGGAAGAAAAGACCCTAAGATTCTCCAGACTATCTGTTTCAGTCCTTAATTTATTAGACAAAGCTATTAGAACAATTTAGTGGCATTAAAATGATTAACTGGCAGCAGCACATCTGATCTGGTCCATAAATGCACTGAAGTCCTGTGTGACAGTGTATCTAGGGCTGGCAGCTCCTTCACTGGGTGTGTTCTCTGCAGGTCACCCTGCAGTCTGAGCTTAGGGATGGCAGATGAAGAGGAGGCTTATCTCACAGGAGGGAATCCTCATCTCATGTGTCCCTTCTGTTGATAGTTATGGAATATATTATTAGACTATCAGAGATCTTGGAACAGTAATAATACTGAAAACATAGACCAAAATTCAAGTCCAGCTTGATTTGAATGCAGAATCACAGAGTTGTTACTGTTGGAAAAGACCTCTAAGATCACAGTCCCAGCTGTCCACCCAGGGAGGGGCTAGGGAACCCCACCACGCCCAAAAAAAGTAATAAAAATCCACACAACCCACAAACAAGCCACCATGCCTACTAGAGCTTGCCCTGAAGTGCCACATCTGCACGTTTCTTGAGTACCTCCAGGGATGGTGACTCCACCACCTCCCTGAGCAGCCTTTGCATCCCAAGATACTGTTGGCTCTCTTGGTCATGAAGGCCAAGAGATCATTTCCATATGGTAAGTGTCTAGGCTGCAGCAGTCTGTTAAGGGACATCTTGCTTAGCAGTTCATTTTTGGACACCAAATATTCCCAAGATCCCTACATTTGGACCTATAAGAGTGAAAGATGTTTCTATGAGAGAGGAGCTGGTGGGTTTCTGCTGCATTTCCTGCCTTCAGGTGTGTCCCCAGTTCTGCAGACTGCTCAGCTCTTCTTATGTGGTCCCTTCAGGTTTGCAGCCATTCAGCAGTGGAGCTGGAACTCCTGATCTGTGCTACCATACTTCAGACCTGTTGAGTAGTTACACTTAGTTGTCTTTGTTTTTCTCTCCCTTTTCAGACTCCACACAGTCCTGTAATAAATCCTTGTGAGAGATGCAAAGGAGTTAGTGTTGGTGCTGTTGGAAATAAAATATCATCCTTCTCATTGCAGGTTCCATTGCAACTTATAGAAAGTGTTGAGTGCCGTGATATATTTCAGCTTCATTTGACTTGCAAAGACTGCAAGGTTATAAGGTAGGAACTTTTTCCTTTGCTTTCCACATGCTGTGGGCACTTGTGACATTTGAAGGAGATGCTTTTTCTTACTTAGTGGACTTGCTTTCACTCAAAAGATGTTTTTTTCCCTGGTTTTGCCTGTGTTAGCTGGGTGAAGAGGGTGGGAGCAAGATGAGCTGCATTTTTGCTTGCTGGTATACAATACAGCAGCAAACCTTGATCTGAGCCTAAGTGGCTGATTTTGATTTTATTCTGAAATTAATTCTGCTCTCACTGCATTTTCCCTGCCTCACAATCAGTTATAATGTGTTGCTTCAAATAGAAGATGCAGAACTAGGTAAAACCACTGAAACACTTCTTGAGGGAGTGTTTTATCAAGTGTGGGGTTTGGAGAGTTAAGGTTGTGGGCTTGTGCTGTTCCATGTGAAACCTTCACTCTGGGTAGCATCAGCCACCCTGCACTTTGAGCAGCTCTGAGGGTACTCTTGCTGTCCTTAAGAGACAGGGGGGTGGAAAAAGTGAATAAGGTAAATCCAGGTCTGCAACCAGCTCTGTAACCCAGCAAAGCAGACAGCATCATGTAGTAGGCAGCACTTCTTTCTGTCTGTCCTTCAGCAGACTTCAGACTCTGCCCTGGGAGTCACTGAGCCTGAGCTACAGCTCTTCCCTACTTCTCTGCTGCAGAAGTGAATTTGGATCTATCAACTTTAATTAACAAGAAAGGAACATTTCTTTTTGATTAAATGTTTGTTGGCAGTACCTTTTGTATAATGAAATGAGCCCCAGTCATATCTGAGCACTCAGAATGTTTAACAGGCCAGCTGCTTCCTGAAATGCTCTTTTTTGATGAGGACTGATTTTACTTTAGAAGTAATACTTAGTTTAATTTGAATTAAATATTTAGCTTCCTCTTTAACTTGTAGCTCTTGACATTTAAAAAAAGTCACCCTTCCTCTCTACATCAATTTGTTATTTCTCTTAAATTGTAGAATGAATACAAATTATTTGTGTTTATGCCCTTCCTTGTGACTTTTCCT